TCTCAGTGCTCAGATAAAGGCACCATGGCTGTTCACTCATCAGATGCTTGCCTGCTCCATTTTTCAGATAAGAATACTGACATTCAGAGAGGTGGCATGTCAGAGGGCCTGTGAAGGACCAGCCTCGAAGGCCTAAGGGAGGAACCAGCAGAGCGAAGGCCATGGTTTGACCCCTGGCCTGCCCTTGCTGCAACCAGCCCTCTGCCTCAACCTCCCCCTCTCTCAGAGCCCTGGTTCAGCCCCTGCCCCTGAATCCCACCCACATACCTACCTGGGTTCCAAGCCCTACCCACTGGAGTCCCCACACCCTCCCACCAGGCCGGCCCACCTTGGACTCCCTGCTGCACACCTTCATGCCCACCCGATGGTCAACCCAACCCGTCCCCTCTTCCCTCCTCAGGAGCGTGCCAGCCCCCTGTCACACTCCTGCTCCACGAAGCCCAAAGACAGACCACCCCACCTTCCCCATTTGGTGGCACTGCAGCCCCACGTCTGACCATATCCCTCCCTGATTAAAGACCCTTCCGTGGCTCCCAATTTCCCTTGAGATGCACACTACCCTCACCCTTGTCCCTAGAACTCCCAGCGGCCTGGTCTGCCATTCCTCCACACACCAGCCCCACCCTTGCCTCCAGCACCCCCTGCACCCTGGTCTGCTGTCCCTCCACACACCTGCCTACAGGTCCTGGCCCAGCCTACAGGGCCCAGCTCTGTCTCACCCCCACAAAGCCTCATGCCACCACTGTGTGGGGGTCCAAGTGCACCCCTCAGAGCTCCCGTAGCCCCCGGGCTTTCTTCCTTCCTGATGCACACCCTCTGAATGCTTATCTGAATCTGCCGAAACTGTAACCTCTCTGCAGGCAGGGACCCAGTCAACATGGGCCAAATGCTTGTCCGTAACACTCAGCATCTAGCAGGTATTCTGTAAACACTGTCTCATCGTTAGACTTTCTTTTTTCCTTTTTTTTTTTTTGAGTTGGAGTCTCACTCCGTTGCCCAG